ACGTACCGAGTTGTTTATTTGTCTCCGTCCCATTGTTTTTTTATGGAATATACAAGTCTCTCTTCTAATTGCAGTCAATATTTAAATACTGCATACAATTTATCCTCTCTTTATAATTTATCTAGTGAGTGTTGGTTTTTTATGACATTATTTCTGTAACGAAATTGAAATGGTTATGAAATGAAATTTAAATTATTTGAACTTTTGGGGTTTTGTAACTTCAATATTAAATCTTATTTAAAGTGAAACAGCTAATTTCTTTGCAGCCATAATAGTCACATTTGGTCAGATGAAACACACTACTACCCGCACACTACTCGTCGGTGGTATAGCTTTCAGAGGAGATTCGGTGTCAATGTCAATGGCGATCGTTTAATTGGGCCGCATTTTCTACCTGAACATCTGAATGGGCCGCGTTACTAATTTTTAGTAGAATTGTTTGAAAACCTTCCCCTTCGGGCTTACAGCAAATGTTGTTAAAATATTAAAATTATGATGCTAATAAAAACTGATTTTTGGCAAGGCATGCTCAGACCTCGAGGTTCTTGCTGGGCAACAATAACAATTTAATATGTTGATTGCATAAATAAAAAATAATTTATAGCATTTTAAATTATTATTGGTTGACGTGAGCAAAACCGTTTATTTATTGTCTTTATATGAGCGAAAATATATAAATATGGCAACGTTGCATCTAGGGCGCGTTGTTCATAGGTTCATATCGTAGCCGTGCATAATATTGTGACGTCAGCCGGTCAGTAACAGCCTGAAAAGGGGGTTAAATAATGATTTGAAAATATTTTTTTTCAGCTTAAATATGCATTTAAATTTTTTTTTAATCACGCCATCGTATTATACTCATTTTTCTCTATCTGCTCTTAAAATTAATTACATTATGACTGAATCACCCTGTATATTCTAAAATAAAAAATAAAACAAAAATGTAGAATACTAAAATCTCGAAAACGGAGCCGTTTTCGAATAAATTATTAATTTTAGTTCAATAAATGCGCAATTTTCGACTGACTAATCAAGTTGACTAGACAAAAATCTTGTTGACACATATTTACTTGACAGTGACGTATAATATTTATTTGACTTTTAGTATTTGTTGTTGAGTTCAAAATGGCAGGGTTTGCTTATACCAACAGAGAATACGTCGATATGATTAAAGCTTTAGGAGCTTGTAACAATAACGCCCGTGCTGCCGAGCGTTTTTACAGGGAACAATTTCCAAATCGCCATCATCCCGATCACAAAACAATCCAAAATGTAGAAATACGTACTGTGGGAACAGGATGCGTAGCTCCAAAACGTTATTTGTATGCCGGTCGGCCTCGAAAATTGACATGGCAGCAGAAAGAACGGTTACTGCAGGATGTTGAGAATAATCCTACCACCTGTACACGGATATTATCAAGAAACAGGCATCATGTCAAATCCACTGTCCATAGATGTCTTCAACGGTACATCTTGTATCCGTATCATGTAGAGCCAATTCAAAAGCTGCATCTCGGAGAGGACCAATTAAAAGTAAATTTTTGCAGATGGGCATTACAAGAATTTCAGCGCAATCCAGATTTTTTCTATAACGTTTTATATACCGATGAAGCTCATTTCAACCAACAAGGAGTTTTCAATCACCACAACCTTCATTATTGGCATTATGAGAATACTCATGAAAAACGTCAGCGGAATCAGCAAAGACGTTGGTCTGTAAATGTTTGAGTAGGTATTTACGGGAAAAGGTCCATATTTTTTGCCAAGAATAGTGAACGGTGAAAATTACAGTAATTTTTGCCAGGTTTGTTAGAAGATATTCCTCTACAACAACATGCAACTATGTGGTTTCAGTATGATGGTGCGCCCGCACATGTCACATTACAAGTATGACATGTTTTGAACCGCGGTTTTCCTAATAAATGGATTGGACGGGTTGGACCAACATCATGGCCAGCCCGATCTCCTGACTTGACTCCGATAGACTTTTGGTTATGGGGATACATAAAAGAAAAGGTTTATTTTACTGTGCCTGTTGGCGAGGATGATGCTATTGGCAGGATTCATGAAGCAATAGCAGAAATAAATTTAGCTAATTTCTGTTCTGTTGCCAGGAGTTTCTACCACAGATTGCAGAAGTGTATTAACGAAAATGTAATGTTTTTGAAGGTTAGCCAAAGCCAGAAGGATCTTCGTTTCTGCTATTTCTTATTTTGTATGGATTTAAATGGATTTTAATGGTGTTAATATTAAACAAAAAATTTATAAATTTGAATTTTTCTTTACAAAATTTTCCGAAAACGGCTCCGCTTTCGAGATTTTAGTATTCTACGTTTCTGTTTTATTTTTTATTTTAGAATATATATCCGGCCGCTGGGGAGTGAATTTTGACTCTCCCTGTATATGACAACAATGAAATTTGGGCAATTAAAGTAACTCATGATAATGTTCATTTCCAAGTTTAAACTGATATTCAATATGCCTGGATTATACAGGAGCAGACGAAATTATCCATTTAAATTTATACATTTTTGACAGCGTTGCCAGATTTTTCTTTCATAGTTCGATTCCTCTCTCATTTTTCTAAAAAAAGGTATTCCATATATCAATCGATATCTTGAACCTTTTTTGAGAAAATCGAATTTTATTAACAATATACATGTATTGTATCAAAAATGCGATGTTAACATTTTTGCAAAAATGTTGAAAATTGAAATGACTGTCAACAAGTTAGATATTTGTCATAAATCATTTTGACGCCATTTGTTGATTCAATATTATGGAGGATTTTAGCTATGAAGGATTTGCAGATATTCATCTAATGTACGAACCTGCAAAATATAATGCTTCTGAAGCTGTTCGGATTTTCGCCAACCGCTTTCCAAATAGAATAGAATTTGCATATTTGAAGTGACGAAAACCCCCATTCAGACAAAACACTAACAAAAATTTATCATTAATACATGGATGGGAATAATTGGAAACTACTTAGTGGGACCAAATATCAATAATGACAATTTAAATGGGGATAAGTACCTATATTTATTACAAGAACACCTTAACCCGTTATTGGAAGACGTCCCTTTAAATATTTGAAATAACATGTAGCTTATGCCTGATGGTGCACCACCCCATTTTAGTAGGGCAGTAAGGGCTTGTTTAAATACTACATTTCCCGATCTATGGATCGGTCGAGGTAGTCCTTTTCCGTGACTGCCTCGTTGTCCCGATCTTAATTCTCTCGATTTTTGTCGTTGGGGTCATTTTAAAAGTCTTGTGTGTCAAACTCCTATAAAAAGTAGGGAAGAATTATTAAATCGCATTACATACGCCGACATCATTAGAAATTATCACCATGTTATTTAGAGTTTATTTGAGAAAATGCATTGAAGTTCAAGATGCACATATTGAACATCTTACTTAACGGTTCTCTTTTTTCTTTTAATTCTATAGAAAGCAAGATTTTTACAAAAATGTTAAAATCACATTTTTTATACAATACAATATATGTTATTAATAAAATTCCATTTTCTCAAAAACGGTACAAGATATCAACTGATGTATGGTACACTTTTTTATCAAAGTGAGAGAGGAATCGAACTAAGAAAGAAAAATGTCAAATTTGGCAACACTGTCAAAGATGTATATATTTAAATGGATAATAACGCCTGCTCCTATATAATTCAGGCATATTCAATATCAGTTTAAACTTGCAAATGATCATTACCATGAGTTACTTTAATTGCCCAAATTTCATTGTTGTCATGGTAACGACTTAGAACTTCTAAGTTATAATTGAATTTGTTTTTTAAACTCCTTTCTTTGAAGGCAAATAACTCCACAACGAAGCCCGACAGGAAAAAAAATTATATGAAGTACTACATCTATTTTGACCTCCCCTTCATTTTTGACATGACATTTGCGGACACCCTGTATATTTAGCAACAAGGGTGATAATTTACAGATATACAGGGTGACCCGGTACTTGATACAATAAAGTCGAGTACAAATAGATGAGGTCAAAATAATATCAGTTCTTCATTTAATTTTTTTTTCATACGGGCCTTCATGAACAAGTTACGGACCCTCAAAGGTGAAAATTAAAAAGTTATTTTTATTTAGTCTCTAAACTATTAACTTCAGCATGATGCAAATTTGGTGATCGATAACACATGCGTATAGCGTACAGCTTGTTTTTGATGTTATAAGTGAAACTTCATTATGCCCAAAACGCCAAGGATAGACTATGCAATTTGGTTATCAACCGAAAATTTTTGCATAGATGACGATCGCAATCTGCTTGCATTGAAAATAAGTTCCCTAAAGAATTTGCCAATGAAAATACTCTATTGTTTCAACTCGGTAAAAATAATAGTTTAGGAAATATTTGTGATTTTATGTCACAATGCATATCGAGGTAGATTCCGTGGACAATTCTACAGGGTGGTCCGAATTTTATGCAGGAAACTTCGAGGACAGATAGATCTCTTTAAAATAATAGGAGTTTGCCTTGAGGGTTGCTTTCGCTGTACACCAAGAATAAAACGCTCTCTCAACGGTAATAATAAAGAATTTTATTGAAAACTAATGTATAGAAAACCTGTATGGAAAAGACGTGTTGACGGGGCGAGTGTTCGTTGGAGAGTCCACTCGGTCGTAGGTATATGGGTACGCGTCTGGTGGCCGGCGCCAGCAGCCCGTCGTATACCGTTCTTGGAAGATTGGTGCGTCCGGCGGCGCTCTTGACATAATGCCCAAAAATGGGTCAGTTTCAACATGTGTACCCACAGCCTTATAAACATAGGTCTGGAACGGTCTCGTTTTAGTGATACAGGGTGTTGAAGTTGTTAAAAATAAATTATTTTTGTTTATATCTTAGGAATCTATTAACCGATCTCAATAAAATTTGGTACAAATAATGTACGATAGTAGGCCTTGCATTACCTAATATGTGCTCTAAAGGTTTAACCTGTGATGTACAACTGGACAGGGGTCACCCCTTTTTATAAAAAAACCTACGCCACTGTATTTTTTACAAGTTATTGTAATGGATTTATATTCTAATGCACTAAATACGTAAAAAGTTAACTTGAATTTTTTCCCTAAGGTTCAACATTTTCAAGTTATTCATACAAATACAATCCCCTTGTGGTAGACACTTCGAATCATAATATTACAAAAATATTTATGTTTATGCTTACAAGTCAGTGCAACTTGTAAGCACATCAACAAAATTCTTTCCACATAACTTGTGAGGTAGTATTCCTGGTGTGTTTTAGTTTTCCTTGGAGGCATTATCTTTACAAATAAGAACAGTTTAAATCAAAATAATAATAAAAATACATTTACAACAACAACTAAACAAGAAACAAAATTAACGTTACGTATTTACAGCAATTGTTTAAAATGCGAACCACCCACATTGATACATTTCTGACATCTATTAATGGATCTAATTGAAGCTAATATCATGTGGTGGTTTTCTTTTAATTCATTATACCCGTCGTCTATTCGCTGCAGCAGTTGTGGTCTAGTATCTATTGGAGTAGAGTAAACTTTTCAGGTAGGTCACCCCAAACATAGAAGTTCAGGGAGTTTAGATCTGGCAATCTGGCTGGCCAAGACACTGGACCCTCTGCACCATTATGGTTCCACCTATCCATCATCTCATATAATTTTCATTAAGCCATTCTTGTATTATTTATTCTCCTAAAATGCGCAGGAGCACCATCCATTTGTATCCAGCTATTTTGTCGTATATTTAATGAAACATCCTCTAATAATTCAAATAGATGGTTTTCTAGAAAGTTTAGAAATGACTCCGAATTCCATGAGCATTTTCTTGTGACCAAATATCCAGATTGTGAAAATTCACTACCCCTCGCCTTGTGAACGTAGCCTCATCGGTCCAAATTATTTCTAGTAAGAATTCAAACAACCACTGCATCTCCCGGAAGTAAATTTTGCACAGGTTGTAAATGGTACGGATTTCTGCCATTCTTACGTAGAACTTTTCAAATTTTCGAATTACTCACCCCAAGTTGCCGAGACGTTCTTCGTGTACTTAGCCGAGGATCGTCGTCAAATGCTTTTAAAATTTCATTTCTGTGCCTTTCATTCCTTTGTCGTGATTTTCCAAATTAATCCAAAAAGATGAAAGCGACAAGTGTAAAGAATTTTGTTGATGTGCTTACAAATTGCACTTACTTTTAAGCATAAACATAAATATTCTTGTAATATTCTGGTTAGTGTCTGCCACAAGGAGATTGTATTGGTTTGAATAACTTGAGAACGGTGAAGTTTAGGGAAAAAATTCAAGTTACCTTTTTTACGTATTTTGTGCATTAGAATATAAATTCGTTACAATAGCTTGTAAAAAATACAGTGGAGTAAGTTTTTTTATAAAAAAGGGGGTGACCCTGTCCAGTTATACATCACTGGTTGAATCTTTAGAGCTCATATTTTAGGAAATACAAGGCCTACTATCATACATCATCTGTACTAAATTTTATTGAAATCTGTCCATGGATTCCGGAAATATAAACAAAAACTATATATTTTTTAACAACTTCAACACCCTGTATTTCTAAAACGAGGCCGTTCCAGACCTATGTTTATAAGGCAAATACCTACTATTTTAAAAAGATCTATCTGCCCTCGAAGTTTTCTGCATAAAATTCGGACCACCCTGTATACACATCACAAATATTAATTTAACATTTATGTCAAATACCCAAATACGTAATTAAGTAAACAACAAAACATGTTTTCTTTCTTTTTCTGGAAAAAAAGAAAGATAAATGAGGAAAAGCAAGGGGACTATATTTTTAAGTATGATTTTAAAATTTATTGCATGCTATTTAATAAATTTGGGATATCTTGCTTAGTCTTTTCGTCCCAGAATATTTTTAGACGCTTCTTAAAAGATACATATGATTTACAAGATTTAATATCTTCTGGCCGATGTAATAGTAGGATTTTGTAAATTTTGCAGTTCTAGGTTTAGGAACTTTGAATGAAGTTTCACGATGTTTGGTACTGTAATCATGATCTATAGGTTTTAATTCATCTCTGCGTTTGTACTGCCTGGCCAATACTTTGAAACAAAATAATTTGTTTAGATCAAAAAATTTTGTTTCATCAAACAAGCTATCACTACTGTACAAATAAGGCTTCTTCAGAATAATTTTAATTAAATGTTTTTGAATAATCTCTAGTGCATGCGCATGAACACTTGCAGCACCTCCCCAGATAGTTAAACCATAAGTAATGTGACATTCAACAAGGGCATAATATAAAATTTTTAGTTGTTCTAGAATCAAAATTGACACTAATCTTTTAAAGGTAGGTAACATTGAAAAGGAATGAAAAATAAGTCATAGAACTTAAACGGCCCGCATGGTATATTAAAAAATATTTTACTAATTAATTGGACACAGTCGATTTTACCATTAATAATTTTATACAGGTTAATAACATCCGCTAATACTCTCCTGTTAGCTAAACTTATAATATTATATTCAACACACAATCTATGAAAATTGTTGTCGTTCAAAGTTCGCCTACACTTAAAAGAAAAAATTAATAGTCCATTGAAGTGAAGGCTGAACCTCTATTTTTTCCTCTGTCGATCAAACCTGGGCGCAAATATGTATTCGACCCTCAGGAATCCGAATCCGCAAAAATTTTTGACCTAGGTGGTCAGGAAAGGGGTCAAAAGGTCAAAAAACCGTAAAAAATAAGGTTTTTCGCAAATATCTCGTAAACTACGGCAAGTAGCAAAAAAATAATTGCACCATCGTGTTCCCAGGGAAATTTTACATCGATTTTATGCTATTGCTTATTAAAATTAAATAAATTTATGTCAT